AGTCTGGTAAAAGTGATGGAGAGAGTGAGAGAAGCTCTGAAGCAGAGTACAATCACCAGTCTGGAGAAAGTGATGAAGAGAGTGAGCGAAGCAAGAAGCGAATGATGGTAAGTTCAACAGCGCTTAAAACTTTCTAAAAAATCTCTCTATGTTTCCTTATATTTATTTCATAAACTCAGTTGTTGATTTACTGTGATGCAGATGACAGTTATAACATCTCAGTCCTCAGAAATCTTCCAACCTATCTGTAGCGGCCAAGAGGAATATCGGATCTGAATCTTGAGCTTTCTTTAGGTTTTGGTGGAGCTTCTAGCAACTTCCATGGGGATGAATCATTGCTATATCATTCATTAAGGAAGAAGCTTTGTATGTTGATCCCATGATAAAAGAACAACAAGACGCAGAGACGCTAATCGAATCTCCACAACTCATCAACTTTTTCAGGTGACTCACAATCTTTCAAATCTTTTTAAATTTTTACTCATTGATCAAGTTTTTTTTTTTTGAACAACTCATTGATCAAGTTAAATCAACGATTTCAAAGATTTTTCTCACTCTAGCAAGTCTTATTTTGCTGTTATCTTGTGTTAGAAACTTGTGCTTCTCTGAATAAACACAAGAACTTTCTGATTATCAGAAATATATTCTGATAAAACACTCTGTTTCTACACAGAATTTGATATAAAAACAGAGTACGAAGTAAGAATAGAAACTGACTCTTTATTTAATCAGAAAACTTCTTTTACATCACAGTTACAACATCTTAAGTAGTTACACAACAGACACGACACAACAGACAAGAGGTGTGTCTTTTCTACTTATGACTCTTAAAGAAATAATACATCCTAACTTAACAGTTACTATTCTGAACTTTATATAACACAAATTCAATTATAATCAACACGCCCCCTTAATTGAGTTTCGGTGTTACTCCAAGCTTCCTCCTTTGTTCTCCAATTGATCAACATTTAAGTCAATCACATCAACCCTTTGCTCCATCTTTCTCTGTGAAACTGCGGCTTCTTCTTCATTCACAAGTAAAATACTTGCTTCCAAGTTACTCCATTTGAGTGGAAAACTCTTATGCTTCATCTTAATGTTCAGAATTCTTCTCCCTTGAGGATCGTTGATGAGGCATCTATTGTCTTCAAATAAGACTCCATATCCATTTGAAATCATTTGAGATACACTCAATAGATTTCTTGCTAAACCCGGCACTAGAAACACCTCTTTGATGATCTTCTTTCCTTGGCTTGTCATCACTTGAATGTTTCCTTTTCCTACCGTCATTATACGTTGACCATTCCCCACTTTCCACTTTGATTGGAACATTTATGCTTTGATCAAGAGTGATGAAGTATTTAACTTCCTTGGTCATATGATTAGTGCACCCGCTGTCAACTAACTATGTTTCATCATTAACTTTTGATGGTACTTCTTCTTCAACCGCACTAAAAAGCATGTGATCCTTATCATCTGTTTCTTCTAGACTTAGATCCACTCTCTCGGCTGCTCTAAGTTTGCAGTTCTTTGCAAGATGTCCCGGTTCGTTACACACAAAACACCTTCTCTCATTGTTTACAACATTTTGTGAAGAGACACCTTCGTTCTTCTTTTTCTTGAACCAATATTCGCTTTCATTGTGATTGTTTCGTTTGCAAACGCTACATCATTTCTCGGCTTTCTTATCTTCACGTTTCTTTTCTCCATAGAATGCTCCTTCAGTCAAACTCTCATATCGTGAAGCAACACGACTTTCATGGGCTTGAAGAGTACCGATCAACTCTAACACGGCCAAAGTTTGCAAATCTTTTGTTTGCTCCATCACGGCAACGATACTATCAAACTTTTCAGGAAGAGAGATGAGTATCTTTTGAACGATTTGATAATCTGTTTTCTCTTCTCCATGGACTCTCAATTGATTTCCCAAATCAATTAGTTTTCCCGTGAAAACCTTGATGTTATCACCGTCATTCATCTTCAAATTTTCATACTTTCTTCTCAGAGATTGAAGTTTTCTTATCCTCACTTGTGGCGATCCTTGAAATTCGGTTTGTAGAGAATTCCAAGCCTCCTTTGATGTTGCTGGAGCTATACGAGAAAAGATCTGATCTGAAACTGCAGTTTGTAGAATTTGCAGTGCCATCAAATCGTTTGTTGATGCTTCCTCCCACTGTTTTTTCAATTGGCGCACTTCTGGTGTCTCCTCCGTTTGCGTCGGTTTGGTTGGAACTCCGTTTTCCACCACCGTTCATAACTTTCTGGTCTTCAAAATAGTTGTCATCTTAATACGCCAGAAGTCCTAATTGTTCCCATCAAATATGGGAATCACTTGTTGCGATGTTGCTTCCATCGCCGCTTTTGCTTGATCTTTGTGCAGTTACTTGTGCGATTGTTCTTCTTGCAGAATTCTCTCTTTATTGTGCTTATTTTGGCCCTCAGATCAATAAAGCTCTGATATCATGTTAGAAACTTGTACTCTCTGAATAAACACAAGAATTTTCTGATTATCAGAAATATATTCTGATAAAACACTCTGTTTTCTACACAAAATTTGATATAAAAACAGAGTACGAAGTAAGAACAAAAACTGACTCTTTATTTAATCAGAAAACTTCTTTTACATCACAGTTACAACATCTTAATAGTTACACAACAGACACGACACAACATATACGATTTAACAAAGAGTTGTGTCTTTTCTACTTATGACTCTTAAAGAAATAACACACCCTAACTTAACAGTCACTACTCTTAACTTTATATAACACAAACTCAATTATAATCAACATCTAGTAGATAATGGAAATAATATATGTGACCACGATCCACGAAGACCTTAGGCACGAGTTATTCTACCCCTTCCAAGCAAGCATCTTCTTATATTATATTATATCAATTTGAAACAATATCATTTTCGTTGTTGGAGCAAAAATAGATAGTATAAATGTTTGGTGCAATAGTTTCCTTTGAAGCAAAAAGCTTCATGAAATAAACTGGAAGCCGAACTGGAGCAGTTTTGTAGAGTATTTATGAAATTTAAAATTAATCATCAGCAAGGAATGAAGATTGTTTGAACCAAGATTTTTTGAAATACAAAAACAGAGATGAGAAAGAGTTGAAAATAAAATAAATTTTGTACGTTAAGAATTGGGAGTGTCTAATTTTTATCAGAGAGGTTTTGAACTGTAAAAAAGGCAACTCTTTCAACAATTTAGACACCGAAACATATCTAGAAAGGAAGAGAGAAAATCGTTTTGTTTTTTTTTTATTTTGTGATATTTTGGGTTAAAGGCTTAGAGTGATCGATGAAAGTGGAAAGACTTGTCCAAACCAAACTATACGATCCACTGAATCCAAACAGGGGGTTTCTAGGAAGTTACGAGAAAGAATCCTTGATAAATCACCCCTTAATTCTCTATGACTGATTTTGGCGACCTTCACTATTTTCTTGGTATTGCTGTGAACATGAATTCTTTGGATTATTGTTTCTTTCACCAACACAACTATGCGGCTGATATTTTTCATCCAACCGGCATGTCAAGATGCAACCCATGCTCCACGCAAGTCAATATACACTCCAAATTCTCTGCCAACACCGAACCACTGTAAGCAACCCAACACCATCACACTTTTGCCGGAGCACTTATCATGAACTCAAAAGTTGTTATAGCCTAAATCAAGTTTTAACATATGTAACTATATATAAGCGAAATTGTGAAATTTTAATATGGGATAAAAAAGAGAAATATTTTTAGTACGATAATTAATTAATGTTTTAAAAATATTTAATAGGATATTTTAACGGAAACTGAAAATTATTAAATTTATCGTTCAAAATAATTTTAAAGAGTTTTCTTATCAATGCTACCAATATAATTTTTGTTTAAAAATATATAAATAATAAATGTTCATGAATTGTAGTTATTTAATGTTCAAAAACATGGTGTTGGCACCAGTGGCGGGACTCAATGAGAATGAGGGGGTCAACTGACTCTGTGAAATTTATAAAATTTTGTGTGCATTCGTATGTAATTAGTAGTCTGTAGATCATTTGGTAAGATGCATAATTTTAAAATGAGATTTCCTTCTTTTTTTTTCTTTTCTATTTACATTAAGTCTATCGTGCATTAAGATAGCTTCTGCATTTTTATTAATTTTTAACTAATGTAGACAATAAACTATCTACGTTGAGATAAGTAAATATTCTAAAAATAATTCTTTTATCATACCGTTTTTTCTCACCAATATTTCAGAAACAATAAAAAAATAATAATATAAGATTATTTGTATATTTTATATAAATTAAATATTTCTAAAACTATATATATGTATTTTCCATTAAAAAAAAACTACAAATTATAGGATTTATAACAATAATACATTATTTTAGGTTTATAATTCAAAACTAATAAATAAAATATTTTATTCAGTTTCAGTAGTAATATTTAAAGTTATAATTATTTTTATTAGTACTAACTTCGGTAGAAAATATTTTTATATTTGGCTCCGCTACTGGTTGGCACGTAGGACTCAAATTTTTTTTGTTTTTAATCTATCAAGGATTTGTTTGTCAATCTCTCTTGGTATATATATATATATATATATATATTAGTCCTCGTGTTTCAAGTTCTTTGTCTCTTTGTACTTATGGCTTTTGCTTTTATCAGAAAAATAAAAATAAATTAGTGCTGCTAAAGTGAATTGAGATTATTTTGTGTAGTTTCATGATTTATTATAGAATAATTAATAAACAAATCAAGGTACAGGGTTAGTGAAGCTTTACTTATATTGAATTATTGTTAGTGAAGTATGTGAGATGTGATGGTGATTATGGGCCCATGATTGTTTCCCTTTTCCCTTACAGTAGAAATCGTATAGTATGGTTTGAGTGTAATGAAGTATCCTAGAAGTCTTCACGTAAATCAACGCTAAATTTGTCATCTCTCTTTATATCTCTACTACATAACAATTTGGAGTTCTTCAAATGCCATTAACACTTTCCGTATCTTTTTCCATGGCTTCTTCTTCTACTTCTCGCACTTGGAAATACGATGTTTTCCCCAGCTTTAGTGGGGAAGATGTCCGTAAAACATTCCTTAGCCATCTTCTTGAGAAGCTCCGTAGCAAACTAATCGTTACGTTCATAGACCATGGCATTGAGAGAAGCCGCCAGATCGCACCTGAGATTTTATCAGCGATTAAAGGATCAATGATCTCAATCATCGTCTTCTCTAAGAAATATGCTTCTTCCACATGGTGCTTGAATGAATTGGTGGAGATCTACCAGTGCTACAAGGAGTTGGGTCAGATGGTGATACCGGTTTTCTACGATGTTGATCCTTCGGATGTTAGAAAACAGACGGGAGATTTTGGCAATACCTTTAAAAAGACCTGCAAGCGTACAACAGAAGATGTGAAACAACAGTTGATGTGGATGCAAGCTTTGAAAGACGTAGCAAGTATTGCCGGACAGAGTTCTAGGAATTGGTACGTTGTTTTTGTATTCCTTTTTTCTCATACAAGAAGCTAATTTAGTGCTAAATTATCTTTATTGAGTTGTTAATTGCTGCTAAAACCGATCCCCTATATATCAAACGAAAGGAGTAGACTATGAAAAAATTATATTACAAATCATGGAAAGTGTTAACTTCTGAGGAAGAATTAATTGAATTTCAAAAAGAAAAATAAAATGAAACTTCTAGTAACGTTTCAAATTAAAATTCTCTTTTGTAAACTTGAAAGCTAAGAAAAGTGGCCAATAAATATGACACTCTCTGATCATCCAAACAATTTCTAATCGTTTAAATTTGAAGAAAACACTAATTAATGAGAAAATATATGTAGAAAAATAACCGTTTAAAAAAAAATATATATATATATATATAAAGATAGTCATTTTACAGTTTTTTACGGATATCAACATTTTTTCACATATATTAATAAAAATTATATTTTTTAAAAAACACTAAATTTTTTATCTATCTAACTAATACACCTAGGGGCTAGGGTGTATTCAATCAAACATTTCGAGTGATTTGTGTTTAAATAATTTATCTGATGTTATTTCATCCTGAAGTTTAAAAATCTTCAAGATCCAGTATTATTGGTTATAAGATTTTTAAAGGTCACTTAAAAATACAGTAAAACCTCTATAAATTAATAATGTCAGGACCATGATATTTTATTAATTTATCGTGATATTAATTTATCTATATATTATTTATTAATTTATAGAGAAAATTTGATTTTCACCTATAATTTTTTTTAATTTTTTTTGAAATTAAGTTATATTTTAAAATTTTAACAAATCTTGTAATATAAATTATGATTAACAATCATAACTACCACAGTAAAATAGTTTTTAATACCATATTGGATTGTCCATGTAAAAATATATATGTTCATAAGTTTAAAATTTATAAGAAAAAAAAACCATGGCTACTATCCATATTATTGACAATAAAATTGAAGATAACACTACAATACATTTAAAAATATTTACAGTAAAAAAAATAATCATCACATCAAAAAACTATCATAAATTTTGAATGTATATCATAAAACACTAATAAGAACTACTGATATCATAATTAAAGAGATGAGATAATGAGATTTCAACCTTAACTAAAAGCAAACACATTAGTTATATTTTAAAATATTATATTTACATATATTTACAAAAATTTATATAATTATTAATTTATGTTTTTGTTGGGACCATATATTTACATAAGAGTTTCAACAAAATTATTATTTTATTATTTTATCGAATTTTTGGATTTTTACATTGGCTCAACTTGGAACTAGCAAAATTTATTAATTTATAGTGATTATTAATTTATAGAGGTTCTATTGTACTGTGTTATTGAAGTAGAGTAATTTCAAATCAATTATTATTGGAAAATTAAGCATTGGTTTTTTATGAGTTAAGTTAATTTAGAGAAGTTTGTGAGTTAAAATACAAATATCTAAATTCTATGGTTTTAGGTGAGATTCTATTAGATTTTAATCTGTGCTATGCACATGATAAGGATTTTTTTTATATAAAATTTGAATTAAATATAAAAACAAATTGTAAGACGATCACTAACAAAAATAATTTGACTTAATATTTCATGATTAAAAGGTTTTTGTAGTTTCAAGTGATAAAAAGTCTTTATAATTTTTTTTTATGTTTCATAGTCAAAATGACCAGTCCACACATAAGACCACAGCCACAAAAATATAAAAACTAACCGTCAATTTCTAATTATACAAATTTCTAGTATTGAGGCAACCCGTGGAAGACCGCAGCCATAAAAATATCAATGTTAACATGTCGCACACAGGCACACATATGATCGAATAAATTCAAGTATTAACTAATTTACTTTAAATTTGCAATAATTGATTGTTGAGTTTAGTTTTGAGAAACTTAAAGATTTGAATTATGCTGGACAAATTAGAATACTGGTAAAATATATTCAAATTTTAATCTCTTTTGAGTTAATATTTATTGGACTTTTCAAAATAATTAATTTTTAGTAATTAAATAATCTTGTAATTAAATGCGATTAAATTTTTGATCCAGATATTGTTTTAAATCTTTTTGGTTGTAAGGATGCGTTTGTTTGGTTGTTTGGCAACTGATTTAATCAATATAAAATGTTTTCTGAAACTATCCTTACTAAAATTATTACATTGTCTTAAATTCTAATGGCATTATTTGTTCAAAAAGTTATATATCTAAAAATGATTTTGTTTTAGTTGATCATTACAACTTTCTTAAATTCACCCAAAAATCAGCAAAATAACCTAAAAACCTATTAAAACCCAATTCACTCAAAATGTTTGGTTGAATACGTCAATGAAGGGAGTATTTTGTTAACCATCACAAATTTGTGGTTTCTTTGCATAGACTTAGATGTTTATTTTAAGCGTGTTCTTGATGACACTTGACTATTGATTTTAGGAACAACGATGCAAATATGATTGAACAAATCTCCAACGATGTGTCGAATAAACTTTTTACACAATCAGAAGATTTTGGTGACTTCGTGGGAATGGACGCTCATATAGAGGCAATGAACCCAATGTTGTGCTTGGAAAATGAGGAAGTTAGAATGGTAGGGATTGTGGGGCCTTCAGGGATTGGTAAGAGTACCATAGCAAGAGCTCTTTTTAGTCGCCTCTCTAGCCGATTCGACAATCGAACTTTTGTATCGTATAAGAGAACTATCCAGGATGACTATGGTATGAAACTGGCTTGGGAAAAACAATTTCTGTCAGATATTCTAGGTCAGAAGGACATAAAGATAGATAGTTTAGGTGTAGTGCAAAGGAGGCTAAAGAACAAGAAAGTTCTTATTGTTGTTGATGATGTGGATGATCTAAAGCTACTAGAGACTGTTGCGGGAAAAAAGGGATGGTTTGGGTGTGGGAGCAGAATTATTGTGGTCACTCAAGATATGCATATTCTCAGGTCACATGAGATTGAGCTTATTCATGAGGTGGATTTTCCATCTAAAGATCTGGCTCTCGCGATGTTATGTCGGTCTGCTTTTGGGAAAAAATTTCCTCCTGATGGTTTCATGGAGCTTGCAGTTGAAGTCACAGAGCTTGCCGGTAATCTTCCATTGGGTCTGAACGTCTTAGGTTCCTCTTTGAGAAGTAGGGACAAAGTGGAGTGGGTGAAGATGTTGCCTAGGCTTCAAGATGGTCTGGATGGTAAAATTGAGAAAACCTTAAGAATTAGTTATGATGCGTTAGATAGCAAAGATCAAGATCTATTCATCCACATTGCATGTTTATTAAGTGGTAAGAGCATCATTTCTATTGAAAACTTGCTCAAAGGTAGTGCTAACATATGCATTGGGCTTAGAATATTGGCTGAAAAATCCCTCATACGTATAACATCACCATACGAAACTGTAGAGATGCACAATTTGCTACGAGCATTGGGTAGAGAAATTGTTCGCGCAGAGTCAGTTTACAATCCTGGAAAACGTCGATTCTTGGTGAATGCTAAGGATATATCTGATGTATTTAAGGATAATACTGTAAGTCTTAATATATGCTCTTTCATGCCTCATTCTATTTGAATTTACCTGTCATTTAGTTTTTAAAAATTGTTGTTATTGGCTTATTGCTAACATAATGTATTTCTTAATTTATTTTGTTTAACGTCAGATACTTTCTTTTGTTGGGATTTCTCAGGGGTCTGATAGCGTTCTAGGCATAATATGTAACACATCAGAATTCAGCGAGCCACTGTCTATGGATAAAAAATCGTTCAAACGAATGAATAATCTCGAATTTCTAAAATTTCACAAAGGGCGGCGATTGGTGCGGAAGACCGGTGAAGCCCGATTATATTTACCGGAAGGCCTTGTTTATTTGCCTCGTAAACTTAAATTGCTACACTGCAATGAATATCCAGGAAAATATATACCTTCTAACTTAATTGGAGATTATTTGGTTGAGCTTAAAATGGAGAATAGTAAGCTTGAGAAGATGTGGGAAGGAACTCAGGTACATACTCTAATGTTTCGTTAATCCTTAGTATTGAATAAAACGTTGTTATTTTTTATTTTTTCATTCAGTTTGATCATTTATTTGAAAAGTTGAGATAGTGTGTTTTATATATCTATTTTCCTGTTTTCATTTCAGCCATTTCGAAGTCTTAAGAAGATTGGTATGTGTTACTCCAAGGATCTGAAAGAAATTCCAGATCTTTCTAATGCCAAAAATCTCAATGTATTGAATCTTAACTGTTGCACATCTTTGGTGACACTTCCTTCTTCGATTCGGAATCTCCATAAATTGAAACATTTAGGGATGAACAAATGCACAAACCTCAAGGTTCTTCCAGCTGATGTCAGCTTGGAGTCTCTCGAATTCCTAGGTTTACGAGGAAACTCAAGGTTGAGATGTTTTCCTGGGATTTCAAGGAACATTTCATGTATATCTAGATGGAACTGCAATGGAAGAAGAAGACTGTCTATGGATTGAGAATCTCTCGGGGCTCAGTACACTTGATTGGGACAATTGTCCTCTGAGATGTATGCCTTCTAACTTTCTCCCAAAACATCTCAGTCACCTCTCAATGACCTATAACAAGCTTGAGAAACTATGGACAGGAGTCCAGGTAATGTTTATGTAATTCATTTTTTTTATTCTTTTTCTATAATCCTAAATGTTACTGAATTTTAAAATTAGTAATGCTACTTTTTGAAACAAATGCTTAAAAGTGTACTATTTAAAGAAACTGCAAAAAAAAAAAAATAGAATCAATATTTGTTAAGAAAAAAATATGAATTAATTATATAAAAACAGAGAAATACTCCAAAATAACAAACTTTCAAAATCTGTGTTTGAAACATACCATCACTAGTTTTGTTTTCAATGATAGAATATTACAAATTATTATATGAAAATACTTATCCTAAATAAATTGCTAAAAATATATTTCTATATCAAGGCTGGGTTCCCTTTTCAATTTTAGGATTTCGATTTTCCCCATTAGAAACGGTTTGATATTAAACTTTTGGTATTATTGTAAAAAAGCTAGTGGTGGTATGTTTGGAGCAAAAACTGTGGTATTTCAAAGAATTAGATGGTTTTAGTCTTAAATTTTAACTAGTAAAGAATTTAAAAACTTAATTGATGTTTTAATATTCCGAAGTTTAACATAACTTTTGAAACATTTTTCTGTTATAAACAAATGGACTTCTAGTAACCGGCCCATTAACCATCAGGTTAATGTCTCATGGCCCATTAGGGTTTCTGATGCATTAGTTATGTAATGTATATATACACTGTTTGTGGAAATAATAAGAGCTGAGTTTTTCCCTTAATACGTTATCAGCACGAAACTCTAATCAACTGAGTTTTTTCCTTTGTCCCTCCAACATCCGATATCTCCGATCTTCTCCTTTTCTCTCTCGTTAATCAACAAGGTTAGTAACCTCATAATTCACACGCATCATAAGCGAGCATCTCGTATTTTACATATACATATATATGCAAACCTGTTTGAGAGAATATTATAAATACGGATCGGTTTTATAATATTATTTTCATGTTCACATGATCAATCGCCGCTTGCTAAAAACTAATGCATCCTTATATGCTATATTATTTTATTGTTCATGCTTGTGTTTTGTGTACGTTTAATAAGTCACGACTGCTTTGCTCAATTGTTATATTATTTATGAATTTGTGGTCATGTTTAATTGTTAAGGTAAAATTGTATATATCTTGTTGTTTTCGTAAATCACCCAACATGTTTTAAAGGAATAGAAATATATGCACAACTATATTTTGTTCTAAATATGAATTTTGCAAAGAATATCTTTAGATCTATTCAAGGTTTGCTCACAAATCTGTTTACACTTTATGTTGTTGTTAAAACAAATTATTGTTAAATTATATATTGATGTCTTGCACTGTTTATATGGACGTCTTGAATAGTAATTACTTTTACAGAATTGTTTTTGATATATCACATGCTAATTAATCGACGAATCTATACTAGTTTTTAGTAAACAGCTTGCTATAGGTAGTCGTAGATCCTAGTGCATGAAACCATGTCTGTCTTTTTCTTGTGAACCATACACGTCAATTTCAGTATATTATATGAATCCTGCATCAAAATTTTGAGGCCAAATTTTGCATGACCAGCACATGACTTATAATTTTGTACTCTTCTAGATAAATCATACGCTTTCTTACTTTCATGGTCATATTTATGGATTCATTGATTAAGTTAATTGTTTGGGTGAGAACTTAGTTATACGGCATGATAGGAATAAATTAATATATGGTGTTTGTTCTTTTACGAACTTAAGTATTATTTTATTAGTTTACGAACCCTAGCAAATCCGTTTAGTTTAATCCCTTAACCGATAATAACCCTAATAACCAGTTTCCAAAATTAAATCTAATTTAACCGGTTTTGTTGTTTAATCGATCAATCCGATCGGTTTAAGCTTAATCGGTTAATTTCAAATTAGTTTCCAAAATCAATCTCTAGATTGCCTAAACCCTAAACCCTAAACCCTTTAAAAAAAAAAAAAAAAAAAAAAAAAACCAATGTTTATCTATTAGAGCTAAATTTGGAAACCCTAGTAAACCGGCTAGGTTATAAACCCTAAGGTTCGATTTTAGAGTTCCCTTATATAGCAAGTTTCCTAAAATAGCAAGTTTCCTGAAATGGAAAGTTTTCCCAAAAATACCTTAAATCCCTTATTCCAATGATCATAGTCTCATACTATTGATTATTTAACATAAATTATTATATGTTTCAGATGTCAAACATTCAGAAGGTCGAATATGAGGCACTCACTGTCTCCGGAGATAACTACCTCAAATGGGCCCTTGACATCAAGATCTACCTCAACTCAAAAAGTCTGGGTGAATGCATCAAAGATCCCAACACCGCGACTCAAACAGAATGGTACTCGGCGATATTTATTATCCGCCATCACCTCGCTGAGTCTCTCAAGCAACAATACCTCACTCTTGAGGATCCACTCGAACTTTGGGTGGCACTGAAAAAGCGATATGACCATCAGAAAACGGTCATACTGCCCCAAGCCAAGTTCGACTGGAAGAACCTAGGGTTCGAAGATTTCAAATCCGTCAAAGAATTCAATTCCGAACTCTTTCGGATAGTTGCACTCATAAAACTATGTGGCGAGGAGGTCACTGATAAGGATATGCTAGAGAAAACGTTCTCTACTTTTGGCACTCCCAATGTTGTTCTCCAACAACAATACCGTGCCATGAATCATAGCACCTATGAGGATTTGATATCTTGCTTACTGCTTGCTGAGAAGAACAATCAGCTTCTGTTGAGGAACAGTGCCATGCGGCCTCCAGGATCAGCCCCATTGCCAGAAGGAACCAGAAAAGAGTCCAACTTCGTCCAACGTAACAGATCCTCAGATCGTGGATGTGGACGTGGACGTGGAAATGGACATGGACTGCGCGGCAGAGGACGCGGTAGACCGAACCAAGATAACCGACCTAACCTCAGTTTTGGTCGGGGTAAGGGTCGTGGTATCAACAAACCGACCCAAAGAGGCAGTTCATCTAGACCAACTCCTTGCTCAAGATGCGGAATGACTAATCATTGGGTCAAGAACTGCCGTACTCCCAAATATCTTGCTGAGCTCTACCAGAAGTATGGGAAAGATAATCATGAGGCTAACCTGGTTCATCAAGTCAATGAAGATGACTCAAAGGATGATAAGATTGATGGCATGGATTATGAGCTCTCCGACCTCCTTGATTGATCTCAAAAATCTGAATTTGTTTTTCATTACTTCTTAAACCTTTATCTTTTGTTTTTGGGATTTATTGTCTTTACTTTGGATTTTTAAGACCTTTTGCTTTTACATTTTAATTTATGGAGTAATGTTTTATTTACATCTCATTTTTGCATGTTATTGAATTATAATTCTTGTTAATGAAGATATGCAAGACAATATGGATATCATTGTGGATAGTGGATCGAGCCACACCATTCTAAAAGACAAGAATTACTTCATAAATTTAGTAATCAAAACCGCAAACATTAGCACTATAGCGGGTAGTTCGAGCCTAATAGAGGGCCATGGCCAAGCTAATGTGTTGTTATCAAATGGCACATATCTAGACATCTCTGATGCCTTATACTCACCCAGTTCTAAGAGAAACCTATTGAGTTTCAAAGACATAAGATTGAATGGTTTCCATATCGAAACTCAGGATGAAGGGAACAAAGAGTTTTTAATTATCACTAAAATGATAAATGGCCATAAACAAGTTTTTGAAACTATACCCGCCGTATCTACTGGCATTTACCATGCTAAAGTCAGTATGATTGAGGCTAATGCTGCTATCAAAGCACGGTTTTTAGATTACACTATTTGGCATGATCGCCTGGGTCATCCCGGTGCGAACATGATGCGTAAATTAGTCCAGAATTCTAAAGGGCACAGCCTTAAACCAAATGGTATTTTCCCTCAGCACCTCAAGTGCACAGCTTGCTCACAAGGGAAACTGATTACCCGACCTTCACCAGTCAAAGTGTCTAAAGAGACCTTGAACTTTCTGGAAAGAATCCAAGGAGACATATGTGGACCAATTCACCCACCTTGTGGGACATTCAGATATTTCATGGTCCTCATTGACGCATCGACCCGCTGGTCGCATGTCTGTCTGCTCTCTTCTAGGAACCAGGCTTTTACTAGGTTATTGGCCCAAATCATCAGATTACGAGCCCATTTTCCAGACTTCCCATTAAAGACTATACGTCTTGATAATGCTGGTGAATTCACTTCCCAAGCGTTTAATGAATATTGTATGTCCATGGGGGTAAGTGTTGAACATCCCGTTCCACATGTCCATACACAAAATGGATTAGCTGAATCCTTCATTAAACGAATTCAATGGGTTGCTAGACCATTACTCATGAGGTCACAACTCCCGGTCTCAGCTTGGGGACACGCAGTCTTACATGCCGCTGAACTAATACGCATACGACCATCTAGTGAGCACAAATATTCACCATCCCAATTGCTAACGGGTCATGAGCCAGACGTCTCCCATATTAAAACATTTGGGTGTTCAGTCTATGTACCCATTGCACCACCACAGAGGACTAAAATGGGACCTCAAAGGAGGATGGGAATATATGTTGGTTTTGATTCTCCCACCATCATAAAATATCTCGAGCCAACTACAGGAGATCTGTTTAAAGCCAGATATGCAGATTGCCGATTTGATGAATCGGTATATCCTAGATAAGGTGGTGAGACAGACAAGCTGGTAAAAGAACTTTCATGGAATCAAACATCCACACAATGGCAAGATCCTCGGACTCTAGAATGTGATTCAGAGGTCCAAAGAATTATACATTTACAAAAGCTAGCTAATCAATTGCCAGATTCCTTTGCTGACCCGAAAAAAGTTACCAAATCGTACATACCAGCTTGTAATGCACCAGTACGAATAGATGTCCCCTCAGGGAAAAGTCAAGTTGCTACAGAGTCTGACGCACGTAAGAAACGTGGCAGACCACCAGGTTCCAAAGATAAGAATCCCCGGAAATCAAAGAAAGGTGCAATGATTGAAACCGGGATTCAAGAGAACACGGATACAGCCTCAGCTGATACTTACCCTATCGAACCATCTCAAGAGGTTTGGGACGCCAAAACTCAAGGTTCTGAAGGGATTGATAATAATGAGATCTCAATCAATTATATCATATTCGGTTCTCTATGGAACAGAAAAGATGTTGACATCAATGAAACTTTTGCATACAAGGTAGCACTTGAGATTGCGCACACGCAAGAGGATCTAGAACCCACGTCTATAATTGAGTGCACTCGTAGATCAGATTGGCTGAAATGGAAAGAAGCCATAAACATGGAGTTGAATAGTTTAAAGAAACGGAATGTGTTTGGTCCGATCTTAAGGACACCATTCGATGTTAAACCAGTGGGAAACAAATGGGTCTTTGTGCGTAAAAGAAACGAACTCGGCGAAGTCGTTAGATACAAGGCACGCCTTGTAGCACAAGGATTCTCACAGAGACCCGGAATCGATTATGAGGAGACTTATTCTCCAGTGGTGGATGCAACTACATTTCGATTCCTCATAAGTCTGGCCATAAGAGAAAACTTAGATTTGCGGTTAATGGATGTTGTAACCGCATATCTTTATGGACCACTGGACAGTGAAATCTATATGAGATTACCAGATGGTATTGAGCTCAAAGATAAGCATGCATCTCGTGATAAACACTGCATTAGGCTGAACAAATCCTTATATGGACTGAAACAAAGCGGACGTATGTGGTATAACCGGTTAAGCGAATATCTCATCAGAGAAGGCTACGAAAACGATCCGATCAGTCCATGCATCTTCATCAGAAAATATCAAAACAAAGGATTTGTAATCATAGCAGTATACGTGGATGACTTGAACATCCTCGGAACATCTGGTGAAATCGCCCAAACAGTTGAGTGCTTAAAAGCAGAGTTTGAAATGAAAGACCTAGGCAAAACTAAATTCTGTTTGGGATTACAACTTGAGTACGTCAATGACGGAATCCTTGTGCATCAATTGGCATACACTGAAAAGGTACTCAAGAGATTCAATATGGACCAGGCCCACCCATTAACCAGCCCAATGGTTGTGAGGAGCCTTGGATTGGATAGTGATCCATTCGGTCCAAAGAAGGACGATGAAGAAATCCTCGGTCCTGAAATGCCATACCTCAGTGCTATAGGAGCATTAATGTACTTGGCTAGTCACACTAGACTAGACATCTGCTTTGCCGTGAGCCTCTTAGCTCGCTTTAGTTCGTGTCCAACTCAAAGGCACTGGAACGGTATTAAGCACATCCTTAGATACCTTCAAGGTACTAAGGACTTGGGATTATTTTATTCTAACCATAACAAGGATGGTCTAGTTGGTTTTGCTGATGCAGGATATTTGTCAGATCCGCACTGTGCCCGGTCTCAAACCGGTTATGTTTTCACGCATGGAGGAACAGCCATATCTTGGAGATCCATGAAGCAGACTATTGCCGCTACCTCATCCAACCATGCGGAAATCTTGGCCATTCACGAAGCTAGTAGAGAGTGTGTTTGGTTGCGGTCCATGACTCAGCATATCCGATCAGATTGTGGTATGGACGAAGATAAGGAGCCTACGGTGATGTATGAAGACAATGCAGCTTGTATCGCTCAACTCAAGGACAGCTACATCAAAGGTGACCGGACGAAGCATATTCTGCCCAAATTCTTCTTCACTCATGAGCTACAGAAGGATGGTCAGGTCAAAGTTCAGCAAGTCCGATCAAGCGAAAATTCAGCCGATCTATTCACTAAATCATTACCGACTTCTACACTCCGGAAGCTCATTCATCAGATAGGAATGCGTAGACTTAGAGATCTACAGTGATGCCTAAACCAGGGGGAGTAATGCGTGTTGTACTCTTTTTCCTTCACCATGGTTTTCCTGGTAAGGTTTTAATGAGGCAACTTTCCCCAGCGCATTATAGAGATCCCGGTTTTGTGACAGGCACGGTTACCTTGTCCAAGGAGGAGTGTTATAAACAAATGGACTTCTAGTAACCGGCCCATTAACCATCATGTTAATGTCTCATAGCCCATTAGGGTTTCTGATGTATTAGTTATGTAATGTATATATACACTGCTTGTGGAAATAATAAGAGCTGAGTTTTTCCCTTAATATTTTCCTTTTTGTTGATTCAATTTTGTAAACATTTTTTCTTTTTGTTGATTCAATGAATTTCCAATTTCAAGAAGAAAAAAACGAACATAACTTTTTAATGAAGTATACATCCTCTATTCTCCTAAACATTTTTTTTTTCATATGACCATTGATTTTTATGGTCTTTTCATATTTTCTCTTTGAACTACTTCCTATGTTTAATTAATCCCTTAAACTCTTATACGATTTTTTTAATTTTGACGAAAAGCTAGCGCAAGAAACCATATAAGTTTTAATTTTTTTTCTTACATTAAAATATGTAGTTTATAATTAATTAAAAAATATAACAAAATACTCCATAATACTTTACATAAGTATAAATTTTGCAAAGAAACTTATTAAGAAAAAATCAACTAGAAGGAAACATGAAATTTTTCTTAAAACATCTTATGTAAGAAAACAAAGAGAGTGTAAAACATATAATCATTCGAAATGGATATGACGTTAATATTTATTTAATTATTTTATATGTTTTCTTTAGATTAATATTGAATTAAATGAACATTATAAATAGACTGAAACTAGGTGATCCTTTGTGCACATATTGTCTACATCTATCCATTTCACAGCAATTATCGTTCTGTCATTTTTCACAACAAAGCAATAAAATATATTAAAAATTTGATTATAAGTAATCCTGAAATGCTTTGAATTGAGACACGCAGGAAGTCATCCTACAATCAGATTTCTTATATGATGCCATGAATGGTGAAGAGGTGCCAACGTATTTCACGCATCGAACTTGTGGAACTTCCTTAATTGTCCCTTTATCTTAGAGATTTCTTTCTCATTATTTTCTGAGGTTTAAGGCCTGCATCATTCTTGAACCTGCATCTGAATTCGAAGATTTTCATCCATATATCATTATACACTGGAAATTCAGAGGCGTAAAAGATATTCTTCGCAGTATGATTACCGTAAACTCAGTTAAGATGAATCACATGGTCGTGTTTGACTTTTATATCTGCAATCAAGAAGAAAATTCATCTGAACTGGACTGTGACAATGTGGAATTTGAGTTCGAATTCCATAGTGGTATCTGTCGCTGCTACGACGAGATATTAGGCACTAAATACCGCAACACACAAACTTGTCCCATTTTACTCCGTCGGATAAAAGGATGCGGTATACGAATTTTGGAAACAGAGTACAATCACCATTCTAGAGAAAGTGATGCAGAGAGTGAGATAAGCAAGAAGCAAAAGAAGCGAATGAAGGTAAGTTTAAATAACTTCAAACTTTCAAAAATCTTTGTTGAATAACTGAATAACTATTAGCATTAAAAAAAATTGAATTGGATCAAGGTTCCATAAATAATCTTAAAACATTGAAATTCTAGTTTTTACTAGATTTAATAAATTTGGTTATTGGTTTATTGTGATGCAGATGACAGTTACAACATCTCGAAAACCTTCCAACTTACCTGTAGTGGGCAAAAAAATATCGGTTCTTAATCTTGAGCTTTCATTAGGTCTTGGTGGAGTTTCGAGCAACTTTCATGGGGATGAAACATTGATGGATCATTCACTTTGTCTTTCTTGTCCATGTCTTGAGAAGGAAGCTTTGAATGTTGATCACATAATAACAGAACAACAAGATAAAGAGACCCTAGTCGAGAATCATTTGTCGTTTCCACAACTCATTAACTTGTTTAGGTGACTCAGAATCTTTCAAATCTATTATAATATATTGTAACTAGAATGATTATATGACACACCATTATTTGCAGATTAAATCTAATTTGATTTACACTCATTTAATTTAACGGCTTTTAGAAAGAATAAAAACTCATTAAATATTTATGTATTATCTAAAATATTTTATTAAAAATAAATAAACTAGGAACTCAAAATTTTTTAACAATAAACCAAATGTTAAATATTTGAAGAAAAACTAAAATAAATATAATTAAAATCTTTATTAAAAATAACTAAATAAAATGTGCTTACGATCCCCGGAAGCAACACCGCATCAACCACCACAAGTACTACTCTTCGGTCTCACCTCAAAAAAGAAAAGAGGAGTGAGTATTCGGAAAAAAATACTCAGTGAAGATGTGCTTATGAAACACATAAGATTCATAAACACATTATATGATATAGTAATTCGAGTATTCATAATATATACATTGAACCCTTGCAACATTCAATCTAGAATATAATAACTAATTTTACTATATAATATAATTCTAATATTTTTTAATCAGATAATTACTCAGTCATAGCAATCAACCTAGTGATGCGATCATGGAGAGCTTGCTTAAACCAGAGCTTGGAGACAAGAAACTTGTAGCTGGCTGGGGAGCTTGAACCTTAGGAAGCAATGCGGGTAACAAACGGCCCAATGACCAGAGCCAACTCTAGGAGACTTAAGGAAGCCGTTAGCAACATCATTAATCAACCAAGTTCAAAGAAAAAATGTATCATTCAAACACTCTTGTTGTGATCCAAGTCCGAGATACTTAGTGGACTTGTGATCCAACTTTGTACTCTTTTTGTCCCATTACTAGTTTTGTCCCAATGGATTTTCTAGTGATGAGTTTTTAATGAGGCAGAGTTGGATCACTTAAGCATCTAAGTCCACTAAGTCTAGCCCAAAAGGAGTTGGCGATTGAGAGGAGCGTATGGAAGCATTTGAATTCAAACCTAGACAGCTTGCACTTGTAATTTTTGAGATGTGTTTATTGCTTTGGCCGAAACTCTTTCTACTTCTTTATATTCCCTTGTACTCTCATTTGAGAAACCATCTTATCTTTTTATCAAAAATCTCTTTTCAAGTTAAGATCAAACTCTTGTTGGTGTGTAATATCCTACAAGAACCCTCGGTTCTCTTTGACTGGTGAGTCATATCCAGTGAGGAAAATCGAACCGAATTCATCAAAGGTCTTTCCGCAACCTTTGGAGTCTTATCACCATCACACACCTTGAAGCACTTGTGTTTTCAAGGATTATCTATTCCAATCCAGTGCTTGAGTGTTGATCTAGGGAGATGATTCTATCTAGAATCACATCAAGTAGTATCAGAGAAAACATTCAACCATTGGATCGTCGAATCATCAGGTTGTTTCTTATACTTGTTGTTTCGATCTTTTACCTTGTTAATCACAATCAGATCTGTGTCCTTTAGAGTCTGTTAACTTTTTTGCATCACAATCTGCTTAGATCAAGTTAACTTTTCAACTTGTATCATTAGATCTGTTCATTTTAGACCAAATTGTCGATTCAAATTAGATCTAGACTTTTCGATTACTTGGAGTACACGAAGGGTCATATTTTATGCTTGATCAATCGAAAACTTGTTACTGTTGATTTTGTTTGGGTATTTTGGTTTCAGGTAAGCCATGACAGAAGAAGAAACAAGCTAACAGCGAGATAACAAGCTATTAATGGAAGCTATGACCGCAAAACTGACAGAGTTAATGGCGGCTCAGTTCGAAGTGTTTAGACAAGAGCTGCAACAACATTCAGATGCCAAATCCAACCGAATATTTAGAATGAATAACATAGACCGATCTCCTGAAAGAACTAGGGAACAGCTTAGGCCACCAAGAGATGCCGCGACAGAGGATTATTATAGTCATTCATCTCATCATCACCAAAGAAGGCCAAGGCGAGACAGAGTGGGTGCTGACCGACTTCAGGATAATCTAGGAGGTCTTAAACTTCGAATCCCATCTTTCCAAGGAAAGAACGATCCTGATGCATATCTATAATGGGAGAAGAAGATCGAGTTAGTATTCAATTGCCAAGAATACACTGAGATCAACCAAGTCAGAGTTGCTGCCACAGAATTCACCGATTATGCTTTAAGTTGGTGGGATCAACTTGTTACTTCCAGAAAGAGGAATGGTGAGTACCCGGTGGAACCATGGACAGAAATGAAAACCCTCATGAGAAAACGGTTTGTTCCAAGTCATTATCATAGAGAACTTCACAAAAAACTCAGACGTTTAACTCAAGGCAACCGCAGGGTTGAAGATTATTATCAAGAGCTTGAACCTTGTTGATCCGTGCTGATGTCTCTGAAGATCTTGAAGCAACCATGTCAAGGTTCTTAGGAGGAATAAACTGTGAGATTCAAGACCGACTCGAGATGAAACACTACGTGGATATTTAAGAAATATTGCATAAAGCCATTTTGGTGGAACAACAGCTTAAGAGGAGGGGTACTACAAGATCGAGTCATGGAGTGACTGTCCCAACCTTCAAACCAAGTTATCAAAGGGAAGGAAAGCAAATTGTGGGCACTAAACCTGAGACTAAGCCTTACGTGTCTCATCAAGACAATAAGGTTAAGACAGAGGCTTCTACAACATGTTTCCGAGATGTTAAGTGTTTCAAATGTCAGGGCCTTGGTCATTATGCTACAGAATGTTCAAACCGAAGGGTCATGGTGGTCTTAGACAATGGAGAGGTCGAATCAGAGGATGAAAAAGCAGATCATGAGTCTTTATCCGAACATGAAGAGATTCCGGCCCAAGGGAGCTTGCTTGTTGCTAGAATATCTTTAATCTTACAAACTAAGAGTGAAGAGCAAGAGCAAAGAGATAACTTTTTTCATACTTTGTGCCTGGTCCAAGGAAAAGTCTGTTCTCTTATCATTGACGGAGGAAGCTGCACTAATGTGACGAGTGAATCTATGGTCAAGAAGTTGGGTTTAAATGTAAAGAAACATCCTAGGCCTTATAAGTTGCAATGGCTCAACGATAGTGGCGAGTTGAAGGTGCAAAACCAAGTCAATGTGCCTCTAACTATCAGCAAGTATGAGGATGAGATTCTATGTGATGTCTTACCAATGGAGGCTGGTCATACCTTCTCGGCCGAGCATGGCAATCAGATAGAAAGGTGATACACGATGGGTTCACCAACAAGCATTCATTTGTGTTTAAAGGCAGGAAAACTACATTGGTTCCTCTGACGCCTCAAGAGGTTTCCCAAGACCAAGTTCAGCTCAAACAAAAGGACAAATCATTGGCCAAATCCTCAAACTTCTTTCTCAAGGCTGGTGATGTTAAGAGAGCTTTATCTACTACGCAATCGGTTCTGTTATTTGTTTTAAAGATTGTATTGCGAATATTACTAATCTAACACCGGTGCTACCGAGTGAGATGACAGAACTTTTGCAAGATTATAAGGACGTGTTCCCAGAAAATCAACCAAAGGAATTACCACCAGTGCAAGGCATAGAGCACCAAATAGACTTTGTGCCCGGAGCCTCATTACCAAACCGTCCTACTTATCGAACTAACCCTGTAGAAACCAAAGAACTTCAAAGACAGGTTAATGAGCTCATGGAGAAGGGTCACATCCGAGAGAGTATGAGCCCTTGTGCCGTGCCGGTGCTTCTAGTGCCAAAGAAATATGGAAGATGGCGTATCTGTATTGATTGCCGAGCAATTAACAACATCACGGTTAAGTACAGACATACTATACTTGATGATATGCTTGACGAATTGCATGGTTCTAGTATCTTCTCTAAGATAGATCTCAAAAGCGGTTATCATCAGATTAGGATGAAAGAAGGGGATGAATGGAAAACTGCATTTAAAACGAAGCATGATTTATATGAATGGTTAGTAATGCCATTTGGACTAACAAATTCCCCAAGTACATTCATGAGACTGATGAATCATATTCTTAGAGCATTCATAGGTGTGTTTGTAGTAGTCTACTTTGACGATATTCTGGTTTATAGTAAAATTCTAGAAGATCATATCATGCATTTAAAATCGGTTTTAGATGTGCTTAGAAAGGAAAAATTATTCGCAAATTTAAAGAAATGCACATTCTGCACCGATAGTCTTGTGTTCCTAGGCTTTGTTGTGAGTGCATGTGGAATTAAAGTAGATGAAGAAAAGGTGAAAGCCATTAGATAATGGTAAAGTCCAAAAACCGTAGGTGAAGTTATGAGTTTCCACGGCCTAGCTGGGTTTTATATTCAGCACTCTGGCTGCTCCTCTCACTGAGATCATCAAGAAAGACATAGGGTTCAAGTGGGAACAAGCACAAGATGAAGCATTTCAAAGGATAAGCTAACTAATGCTCCCCTCTTAGTTTTTTCTGATTTCCTTAAAAGTTTTGAAATCGAATGTGATGCCTCTGGAATAGGAATTAGTGCTGTTTTGATGCAGGATAAGAAGCCAATAGCCTTCTTTAGTGAGAAACTCAGAGGTGCTACTTTGAATTGCCCCACTTATGACAAGGAACTCTATGCATTGGTCCGAGCTTTACAAACATGGCAACATTATCGTTGGCCCAAAGAGTTTGTTATTCATACTGATCACGAGTCCCTCAAGCATCTCAAAGGGCAACAGAAACTTAACAAACGACATGTCAGGTGGGTAGAGTTCATCGAGACATTTCATATGTTATCAAATACAAACAAGGTAAAGACAATGTTGTAGCCGATGCATTGTCTCACAGGTATGTTCTACTTTCCATTCTTGACGCAAAGCTCTTAGGTTTTGAACAACTCAAATATATGTATGCGTCAGACCCTGATTTCAAAGAAGTTTATCAATCTTGTGAAAAGTTTGCTAAAGATCATTATTTTAGACAAGACGGATTTCTCTTCTTGGATAACCGGCTTTGTATTCCTAACTGTTCTATCCGAGATTTGTTAGTTAGGGAAGCTCATGGTGGCGGACTCATGGTGGCGGA